TCACTGGATCACGAGCAACAAAATTGCGTGATTAAAAAAAGAAATTATTTTTGAAGATCGAGATCTTCTTTATCGATAGTGTTCGAATTTAATTCAATCTCTATTCTCTGAAATTTCACAGAGTATCTCATGTCGATCTCTTTACTAATGTGTTCCTAAAAGTATATCGAATTTTCAGAAATATATTGGAAATAAATATTTCTATTTTCTTTTATTTATTTTTTTTTCGTTTTAATCGAGCTTTCATTATTTATTATTATATATAAAAGGAAAAATGTTTTTTATTAAATTTAAGATAATATAATTAGTATATTAGTATATTAATATGCGTACTTTCATTATTTTTTTTTAATTCCTTCATAAATGCTAATATATAATTATAATTTAATATTGTACATATAAATTTTAGATTTTTAAAAATAATTTTCATAATTTTTAATTCAAAATACTTAAAGTTTTTCATTTTTCTTCCATTGTATATTTATATAAATATAAATATAAATATATCACAAAGTAATATCCTGCATAGGATCTTTAATAATGATCAAATTTTAATATAAAATATAGAATTTCTATCAATTTCTATTTTTCTATCATAAATTCACATAAATTCACATAAATTCATTAAATCAGCTATACCAATAAAGAAATTATTTGTATCTCAAATGAAAGATTAATATACAAAATATTCGCATAAATTTTCGATTCTATTATTTAAATATCTGTTTAATTCAATTTTCTCAATTCAATATACTTCTAGGGATTGACAAAAATGAAAGCATAATACCCCACACATTATTACCAACCTTGTTAACGATGGCCTAATATACTCGAAAGCCAAACATATAACCGCCAAACGAAAATAGATATTTAGAAAGCCTTTACGATCAAAAAACAGCGTATATATAGAAAAGAGAAAAAAAAAAATGAAAAAAAAAAAAACGTTTGAAACAGCTGCATAAGCAGAGAAATTTTTTCTTCTTTTTTTTTTTTTTTTTTCCTCCGACCACTTTACCTCGAGAGAGAAAGCTCGAAGCGCAAGATGCCATTGCGATCCGCGCTACAAACCTTTCATTTTCGTACGATAGAGTGAGGCTGTTAGGTTGCACGAGATATAGAAGGTTGCCGTCGTCGTCCGGGACCGTGTCACGAACGTTTCCTCTATTATTCTCAAAGTGTCATATATCCCTCGTGATCTCGCTATTCTTTGCCTCCAATTTCGGTTCGCGAATTATTATTCAGCCGGGTATGTGAAAAGACGTGAAATCAATAAGTAGAGAGAAGAATGAACACAAATTCTTTTCCACAAGAACGATCTCGTCGTTTGCATTTCGTTATTCCACCTTGTCTCTCCACATTGATTTTTTTCTTTTTTTTTATACATATATATCTTTTGACACGCGAGGGCGAGAATGATATATGATTATATGGAAATATCGGGACCAGATCCCGACTACGATCACCATATAGAGGTATAGGCATAAGGCACAGGTAGCCAATAACATTATATAGAAAATTTTCGAGTTCTTATTATTATTTTTCGTTCATTTTTATTTTTCTATCCATCGTTTATTGCGAATATTTTTTTTTTTTTTTACTTTTTATGTAGTTTTATTTTTAATTATTTTTTTTTTCGTCGTAATACATATCCGGGGGTCCAAAATGACGTAAAATTGGACCGAATTGCAGCAAGCTGCTTATTTTTTTTTTTTTTTTTTCTTTTTTTTGTTTTTTTTTTTTTATTTTTTTTTTTTTTGGGCGTAATACATATACGGTGGTCCAAAATGACGTAAAATTGGACCGAATTGCAGCAAGCTGCTTATTTTTTTTTTTTTTTTTTCTTTTTTTTGTTTTTTTTTTTTTATTTTTTTTTTTTTTGGGCGTAATACATATACGGTGGTCCAAAATGACGTAAAATTGGACCGAATTGCAGCAAGCTGCTTATTTTTTTTTTTTTTTTTTTCATTTAATGAATGAAAAAATATCCCTTTTCTTATGGCATATATAAAATTGTTTATATATGCGACTCGTGGTATGGGGGCTCAATTTAAATAGATTACGATTCAATTGATATAAAAAAGAGATAGACAGAGAGATAGAGAGAAAGAGAGAGAGAGAGAAAAAGTGTAAAGCTGCTCTGTGATTTCAGTTGAAACTCTTTTTACTTCCTTTCCTCGATGAGATGGGGAGGAATCGACTAGTACTGTATAATCGATATGCGCGAGCAGAAATAATGATTAAAATATTCCAGACTATTATATTGTCATCAGTTTAATTAAAAATTGAAATAAATTTATTTAAATTTAAAAATATCTAAATATCAAAATATCATTTTTAATTAAAAATAATTAAAAATAATTTAACTCTTGGTGATCTAAACGGAGTAACTTTTTTCTAAAATTATATTTTTTCTTTAAATTGACTTATTTAATGGAAATATTTTTTATTGACATAAGTTATTTAAAAAAATTGTAAAAGTATTTAAGAAAATTGTTGAATATTAGACTTGATATAATTTTATATTTCTTAGATATTAAATCTTGGAAAAATTTGTAGGATATTCTAAAGAGACTACTTAGATTTTTATATAAATTTCCAAAATTTGAGAGCTTAAGGATTAAAAAATTAATGCTCGATGATAATATTTATTACGGACTTATTTTACACTCTCAATATTTCAAAATTAGTTTTATATTATCATTTATACTATAAAAAAAATTGTCGAATAAGAAAATATAAATATTGTTCAATTGAATTATACATTGATATCGAGTCGATCCCTCGTTTCATCGAGAAAACATAATTATCGTGATTGGCGTAAGGTTTGTCGAAAGTTCTATAGATTTCGAAAAAAAACAAAAAAAAAAAAAAAGAAGAAAAAAAACAGTCCTACTTGTTTCGATAATTTACAGTGTCTACTGTATATGTTGTTAACTCTCTTATTCTAATAATATTTGTAGACAAACGTTACGCTAACATTTTTACGTTTAAACGGCGATGCTCAGACATTTTCCAACGATATATCAATAATAACGAATTGTAAAACGCGCGAATTTCGAATGTTCCCATATATTCCTTCGTCTCTGTCGAAAATTAACAATCTTGCACGATCGATAATGTCACACACGCTCAACTATTCGCACGCACACTCGCGGCCAATCACACTTCTCGCAGACACTGCGCATCGTCGTTCAAACGAAGCAATCGATTCACGATTAGTGACATTGTTCTCCGATGGTTACTTAAAAACTAAAACAAAATCCATCTGATTCGTTTCATCTCATCACATCTCAATGTTTAACGCAAATTTCTCTGGCGAAAGATAATTGAGGAAATAAAAGTTGAGAAATAATGTGAATATTTAAATCAAGTTCACAATTAAATAATTATATATCATACGATAAAAGATAATATTAAAATGAATTGAATAAGTTTGTTAGTATACGGTGTGATAATAGTCACACAAATGACTATTATCGGTAGAGCCAAAACTAGCGTTAATGGCTGTCTACTAGATCAATTAAGATCAATCAAGAATTACATGTATGTTGGATAACAAAGTTTAAAGTTTTTTATATAAAATAACTATAATTTTCTCATATTATATAAAAATTTATTTAATTAAGATTGAAATATGTATTTATTATTTTTTTATCATTATGTATTAGTGTATCAAATAATTTATTCATTTCATTTATTTATAACATTTTGTCTTGTATATCTCTAATAAATATTAGTAAATATTCTAGTTTCACATATTATGACAATAAATTATGTGAAATATGATCATTATTAATCTTTTATTAATTTGTTTCTGATTTTTATTTTATACAAATTTTAACAAGATTAATTATCTTATTTTTATAATCTCTTTTTTAATAGTTCAAGTGATACTTTTAAATATTTATCAAAAAACATATAAACATTATCTATAATACGATCTTATTAATCATCCTAATACAATAGCATAATAAATATGCTAATTATATCAAATTTTTATATATTTTATTTTTTGAAATCAATTTCTCTCTCAATTAATAAGTAAATTTTAATCGTTATAAAAAGTAAAATGTTTTTCAAGATCTTAATTTTTGTTGTCAAAAAAGGACTTAACAAATAGATTTAAAAAAAGAGTATTATTAAAGAGAAATTCGCATTACGTGTAAAATGAAACGAAAATCTCATTGCTGAATTTATTTTACAGTATAATAAATCTATCTAACCAGAGAACATTGCACATTGTCGAAATATTCACCGTTTTGTTTTGTGTCTCAAGGATAATAAATGTGTAAATTTTTTTCAAAATCTGATCTGCCGATTCATGGCGAGATCAGGATTGCTACTCTAACGAGACGAATTCTACGAAACACAAATCATTGATCAAGTTTATCGCGTTATCATTAAAATTTATTAGTTATCATAGTGGATCAAAATAAATCATTAATAGTGAATTATCATGGCATTCAAAAATTATTATAAAATACAATTAAAAAAAAAATATTACGATATAGTTACTATGAGATTATACTATCGAAGTAACGATACTTTGAACACTTTTAAAAATAATCTCATAATGAGATAAAGAAGAATGTCTTGTATAATAAATGAAAAGCCATGTGTTCCGCAGAGTTCGTATTGCGAATACTTATCCCATGAAAAATCAAATTGTTTTAAATTTGTTTCTTTAAATTTCAATAAAAACATAAAGGCAAATATATGTATCTATATATATATTTATTTTATATTATATTATTTATTTATAATATATAAATATATATTAATATATATATATTTTTCAAAATTTATATATATATATATAATAAGAAATATATATATATATATAAACAGTATAATCTGAGAACAAATTGTACTTATTAATCAGACAATTGGATTTTTCACACGAGATTTTTCTACACTGAACTATAAATAATCATTTATTTTCATATAACATGTTAAACATAATGTTTTGACTGTATTAAGAGAATTTAAAGAAAGCTTACCAAACCGACGAGTAGAAAAAATACTAGGAATGTGCGGCCGAGGACCGTCTGGCAGTAAACGTCGCCATATCCTACCGTGGACATCGTCACGATGAGAAAGTAGACGCAGGTCCAGTACGAAAGCTGTTGAGGGTTCGTGAACTCGAACGGATCCCCTGAGTTTTCAAGCTGTAATTACATAATATTAACATTTATAATTTATAATTTTTATAACATCGAGATTAATATACACAACTATAAAATATATACATGTATATGTATACTTGTATATTATTATTTTTAGATTGTCCTAAAAACTTGCTTTTGTTTTTTTACAGATCTCCTCTATCTTTCATGATTTCATTTTTCCAAAATAATGTTAAAATTACATTCATTATATATTATATTTTATTTTTATATTATATTTGTGTGTGGTGTATAATACATGTAAAAAGTGAATTCTATAGACAGAAACAAAAGTTAATATACAAAAATATCGGTCGAGACTTATTTATTAAGTTATAAGCAAATTAAATTTGCAGATAGTGAATACATTATTATCTTTTAAATTTTTTTTAATTTAATAAATAAGATATTTATCAAGACGATATTTTTATATTTATTTTGCTCTCTGAAATCGATTCTCTAAAGATACTTCATGAAGAAAAATCTAAAAATATATATAAAAATATTTAAAAATTTTAAAGAGAAAAATTTAAAATTACAAAGCTTTTACAACGCCTCAAAAACTCATGCACATGTAATGCGAAAAATTAAAAACAGATTATTTTTTTTGATTAGAAAATAGATATGTATAAATTTAATTTTTTGATTTATATTAATTTTTTCTAGTATATATTTTAACTACTTAAAATTAACTATTTCTAGCAATTTCTAGATAATAACATCTAGATAACACTTTTAATATTATATTGATTTAAATTTATATTGATTATAATATCATATAATCTATTGTATATTTAAGAAATTGAAAGAAATAAAGGAGATTTAGAAATCTAATTTTTATAGAAAATACATTTTTAGAAAATAATAATTAAATGTTCCTAAAAAATGTTTTAGATGAAGTATATGTTTATGATGAATAAGTTAAATGTTTATATATAAGTAAAAAGTGTTGAAAATATCTTGACGAAGTTTTGAGAATAAACAAATATTGTTTACATCGAGATGTTAAAATTAGAGTGTAAGCAAATGCATAATATATGATGAGCCAGAAAATCGAGTGGGTGTGACAGAGAGATTTTTAGAAATATCAGTATAAGATTAGTCACACGATGAGTGGGAAGCGAATAAATGTGATAAAAAATAAAATAAGACAGTAGAATTGAAAAAATATTTATAAAACTCAAAAAAAAAATATAACTATGTTAATTTAAATAAAAATAATATACAATTAAAAATAAAATAAATATAAGATAAATAAAACAAAATATAAAAAATAATAATAATCATATTATAATTTGATGAATGAAATTATATATTTTTAACTTTTACAACAACTTTTTAAACAATTTGAGTCTCTGCAGTTGAAAATTTTGTGAATTTTTTAATTTTTTTTTCTTTTACATTAAATTATTCAAATATCTTTTCAATGTATATTGGAAAGTATTCTTAATACAATTACTCAATATTATTAATTTTAATACAGCTTTAAATACTTTGTACATTTAAAATTCTAATCACTTAATTGTCTTTCTATTTTTATTATTGTTAAAATTTAATTATCAATTAAATTACCAATTGTTAATCTACCAACTAATTATCCATAATCTGTTATATTCATAAGACCGAGTGAGAAAAAGAAAACCAAATAATAATAATGAAAAATATCTTACCAAATGAATGATGCCAGCAGCTGTTAACCAGACGGAGATGAAGATCGATACAAGTTGGGCGAGACGAATGGAACTCGATGTCTTTAGAATGTTTAGGTACTGGAGAATGTCAGGGACCGTCATCAGTCGTAGGGCTCGAAGGAACCTCAATCCGATCCACGTCCGATCGAGATATATCGACACGAAGGACGGTGGTATCGTAAAGTAGTCCACGAACGAATACATCTCCAGCATGAACCACAGCTTATCACTGGCGGCGATAAACTATCACAGAACAAATTTTTAATCACATACGTGTTAATAATATAATTTATTATTTCATCATTGTATTTATATATAAACGTATAAATACAATTATTAGTATGAATTTGAATTAATTTTTATATGATATGAGTTAAAAAATAATTTTATAAAAAATAATAGATAATCTTGTTAAATTTTACAAATTCTTTATCTTATGATATTTAAATATTGAAAATTTATTAATTAGTGAGCAAAATAATTGATTTCTTATTTTGTCTAAATTTTTTAAGGATTATAATATATTTTCAAACCATATCATATTAAATGAAGTAACTGACAGCTAAAAATTACTTGAAGAGTAGATTAATTAAAAATAAACTTTCTATTCTAATTTATTTGTAATATCTTAATTATTTTGTAATATCTTAATTATTTGTAATATCTAATACTTTCCTAATTTTGATATTTTTTATTTTTTTAACTATTGAATCATTAATTTTTTCCTAAATCATTTTGTTCTCTAATTTTTCAAATTAACTATTATTAATTACAATTAACTATTAATTATTATTCTAATCTTTCATCAGCAATCTTTTTTTTTTATTAACGATCAATAGTTTAAGTTTAATCATTTAAGTTCATCTAAAATTTTTTGATACTAAAAAAAGCAATTTAAAATACGAAATGTATTATATTATGTATTTGATAATAACATTTAATTTAATAATTACATAAAAAAAATTAAGAGTTTTAAGTATAATTAAAAAAAAATAATATTTCTTAAATTTCTTAAATATTTATTTGAATGCAAATATAAATTGTGAATTATGAAAAAAGTACTCAGTAAAAAGAAATCCGTGGTGTACTTCTTAAGAAAATCGTCTAATAATTTGTATTCATAAATGTTATATCATTCCTTTATAAATTCATTAGGTAATTCCTCGGAGAACTTTGAGAGAATGCTCACAAAGCATATATTTTAAGAGACTCAGATTGTTAACGAAGGGTTAATCTTTTCCTAAGTCTTAAAAACCCACGACATTTCCCGACAAGCAGAATTTTATTGTTTGACTTCAACAGTTGTATTATTCAATCAACGTATTACTTTAAAATAAAGATCTCTTATAACACTCTAATTACAATTTCTTGAATGCATTACAATGATTGTTTTAACAACGCAAAGTCGAGCATTGTCATGCGATGAAAATTACAATCCTAACCATTTTAATATTAGAACAGAGATTTCTTTGTTTTAATTTTCTATCCACATGTTGTAACAAAATATATCAATGTATCTTGTTGCAACATAAGTTATCTTTTAAGAATGATATGACAAAATTGATTCATTATAGTCTATCATTATTTACAAATTATTAGTAAAAGGATCTAATATAATATATAATATATAATATATAATATATAATATAATCTAATATATTGTTATATGAATTTAAATAAATACAATAAAATAATACAATACAATATAATCATAATCTGATATTGGGTCAATAATTATAATTTAAAAATTTTTATTTGATATAAATAATTTGATTAAATAAATAATTTATAATAATACTTTTTATATTTTATTTTATAATATTTGAAAATAAGAATTTAACACGGGTAAGAAGTGACTGTCCACTGTTCAACTGTTAATATTCATGAATCTATAAATTTAAAAAGCATCATAATACTGATGAAAAGTTTACACTTACGCGTATAAAAAAGTAGACCATAAAAAATATATTGAAAGCTAAGTCTATCTGCTGAGTAATGTTGTTGCTCCACTCTTGGCAACGTTCCACCTCTTCGCTGTAACATAAAATTGTCATTTGATGTTAATAAATTATGTTAAGATCTCACTTATGATAAGTTTGCTTGACTTTTATAAGAAAATAAATAAACAATAATAATGTAATCAGTCGTTACATAGTTACTTACATAATTACATGATTCGTTAATATATGAAAATTTTTACATATGAAATTGTTGTATATGAAAAATATATTTTATATTCTAAATTAAATGTAAATCCAAATAATTTTGTTGTAATTATTATACATTATTAAAATGAAATTAAATTTACTTAAATGATTATAATAATTTTTTTTACCATACACAATTCTATAGAATTTTTTCCATTTTATGTGATTTAAAAAATATTTTACAAACAAATATAATGTTTTTAAAATTACAATTAATTTTCTTACCTAGAGGCATCGATGAAGTATATTATAAGCGATGCTATACTGAGAATGAAAACTAACACCACCTGAAACACACAATATTATTCAAAATTTAATTAAATTAAATTAAATAAATATCATGAAAACAAATATACACAAACACTGTGATTAAAATTAAGCGAAATTATTTTTAATTAAATAATCTTTCTTTCTTTTATCTTTGTTTATATCAAAATCATTGTGTAATATATTTCTCATATATTTTGACTAATATCTCTTTAGAGGTTTTTTTTAATAACAGAACCATTATTACCATAATTATAAATGAATTATCTATTAAATATTTATAATAAAATTTTAAAGATTCACATAAATTTTTAGATCTAATATTTAATCTAACATTCATAATTATATATCTTATTATATCTTATATTTTTATATATTGAAATATTGTTTACGCAATAATTAATAATAATTTAATGAAAAACAATAAATTTTAATTTTAAATGTTGATTTAACGATAATGAAAAGCTCCCATTGAATTTATTCTTCTACAATTTATTCATCCTACAATGGTCGATGAGCGCCAACGAATAAATACATATTATACTTCAATCACTTTGTTAGCACTTTCTGAAATACACAATCTTAACATACTCGTTCCAAGTAGTTTTACTTGGGAAGATAAAAGATTTACTAAGCTGGTAAATCTCAAAATAAATTTTGAACATGACTATATGTAAATTATATTTTTGCTCAAAAGTCTTAGAATATCATTATATATATATATATATATATATATA